CCCCCCACAAAGGGTCAAAATTTGGAATAATTATAACCCTTATAAAATGTGACATAAGAGTCCGATTCTCTTCAAATCTCACACATCACAATGTTTTTATTAACACAAGATCTGGTTTGAAGATGGGATATATGTGGTTCTCCTTCTGATACCACCCCCACAAAGGGTAAACATTTTGACTATCCATGAAGCTCATAAAACGCGAGCTTAATAGCCGATTCCGTTCAAACTCGACACGTGTCAATATTTCAACACTAGATCCGTTATAAAGATGGTAGAGATCGGACTATTCCTTTTTGTACCTCCCCCACAAAGTGTCAAAATTTTAAATTACCAAAACAATCAAAAATATCCTAAATATGCATCCGGTTCTCTTTATATTTCACACATACCATTATTTCTTCTAGCACAAGATTTGCTGTGAAAATGGGATATATCGGTCCACTCCTTCTGGTACCTCCCCCACAAAAGGTGAACATTTTGAACATCTATGAAGTTCATAAAACGCAAAATTAATATCTGATCCCATTCAGACTTGGTACATCACAATATTTCCATGAATAAAAGATCTGTTGTAAGGATGGGATATATTGGACGATTTCATCTGGTACCTCCCCATATTGGGTTCAAGGTTTAAAAAACGCTCAAAGAATGCGAAATAAACATCCAACCCTCTTCAAATTTCACAAATACAAACATTTTTGCTGACACAAGAGGTGATATGTATCTGCGAACCCAAAGGGGCACAATTTTCAATACTTTTATCTGTCATAACTTGCCATATCTAAAAATTTCCCTCAACCAGAAAGCCGAGATAAATATAGAATTTATAATTTCGCATAAAATTGAATATAAATATTCGATTTTCTTCTACCAATATTTTATAAATATTTTTATTTGTATTATATGGCGTATGAAATTGGAATACTTCGGTCGGCTATATCTGGTACCTCACTCACACTTCAGCATTTTCTAAAAAAACTATCACATATCTCATATAAAGTGAAGGGAGTAGTCGATGTAGTCCAAACCTGGCATTTCGCAAATATTTATATCATATTTATTTATGTCCGACAGGAAATGGAGGGTCAACAATTTGAATAATCTTAACAGAAGTCAAAATATAAGTAAGCAATCGAGCATTGGCAGAGGATATACATCTGTCGGTAAAACTGACTGATACTTTTTATCTTTTTCTTTTTAGTATTAGATGAAGTGAGGTGCTTACGCACATTTCAACATTTTCTAAAAATTAAAAAATATATTATAAATAAAATATATAAAAATATATTTCATATAAAGCGAAGAAAGTGGTCGATATAGTCCAAACCTGATACGTCGCAATATTTTTATCATATTTATTTATGTCCGATACGAAATGGGTAATATTGGCCCTCCCCTTTGGAACCCACTCCAAAGAGGGTCAACAATTTGAATAATCATGACAGAATACAAAACTATATTCAAATAATCGAGCATTGGCTGAAGGTATACAACTGTCGATACTTTTTTTACTTGTTAATTTCTTCTACTTTTGTCGACGTTGGATATCGAACCCACAACCTTCAATTTGGCTGTGGGGAAACTAAGTTATTAATTATTTTATTTTTTTAAGGAGAAAAAACTTATTTGTTTTCACTTCCCAAGAATGCAAAAGACAGTTTGTTTACATTACCTTGTAATGGATTGTTCGACCCTCGAGGCTTCAATTTTTTTGCTAAATTGTTCCATATATTTTCCAGCTGAATTGTCTGTAATGACAGGATTATCAAAGAAAGTAAAGTGACTTTTTAGAAAATTAAAGGTGATGATCCATAAGCAGCTTGGCATCATGATCTGACATATTAATGTCAAGGTAAAACGACGGCAGGATTCGAGTTGGACTCTGAAATTCCTTTATTTTATGTCTATAAATATGCCGAGCCATGTGTCAATCATCACCTTAAGGATCATCACCTTAAGGTCCGCATTTTGGTCAAACCTGATAGTATTGCCTCAGTTTAGGTAATTTAACAAAATTGCTGTCCATTTCAATTTCACTAATACTATATTATTTTACAGTAGCTATAGAGAGTACAATGCGGCTTACAAAATTGTGTATTGTTCTTTATTTGAAACTTGCCATTTGTATGTAAGTGTGTGTGTGTGTGTGTGCATTGGAAGCTACATTACAAAATCGTTTTAACCACTACTAAATCATAACCACAACTAAGAGCCTTGTTACAAGACGTATAACAATGCGATTGTTTTTTTTTTTTTTTTTGTTCTTTCTTCGTTTGCTGGAGAAGATAAAGAAATAACCCATCTTGAGTTTAAGTAAATGTTTAGTAAGCCCTTATAAATGTATGCGCATACTGCCAGGAAACAAGAAAACAAAAAAAGAATAACTTAAGCCACTTTTGTTTTAATTATTCCTGAAATATGCAAAGGATTGAAATGCTGAAAGTTTTGGTATTATCTTTTTTTTTAACTAAAGGGTTGTTCTGTTGAAATACTTAGTTTATAAGAGTATTTTTAAAAGTATTGTGAAATACCTTAGGAATTATTGTAATTTTGGTTTTTATACCCTCAGCCATACGGCTAGAGAGGGTATATAACGTGCCTCATCGAAATAACGGTTTTAGACCCTAGGTCTCTTTGGAACAAATCCGATAAATTTGGAGTCGATCTAGCGATATCCGCCCTCCGTCCGTCTGTCTGGCTGGTGCGCACGATAACTCTAGAAGGAATATCCGATTTGATCCAAACTTGGTACAACGTAATATTATTATCAAATTTAGATCGAGTTCCCCCATAACGGGTTAATATTTGGAATAAATATAACTGTTATTGAATGTGAAAAAAGACTCCGATTGTCTTCAAATTACACACATCACAATATTTTTATTAACCCAAGGTCTGGTGTGAAGATGGAATATATCGGACCACTCCTTCTGGTACCTCCCCCACAAAGTGTTAACATTTTGAATATCCATGAAGTCCATAGAATGTGAAACTAACATCCGATTTCATTCAGACTTGGTACATCTCAATATTTCTATCAACAAAAGTTCTGTAATAAAGATGGTCGAGATCGGACCATTCTCCTGGTACCTCCCCCACAAAGGGTCAAAGTTGCAAATAACCAAAATGATCATAAAATCTAGAATAAGCATTCGGTTTTCTTCATATTACACACATTCTATTGTTTCTACTAACACAAGATCTGCTGTGAAGGTGGCATACATTGGTACCTCTCCCACAAAAGGGTCAGGGTCTTGATTAACCAAAAGCAATCATAAAATCCGAAATAAGCATCATGTTCTCCTCATATTTCACACATCCCATTATATCTACTAAGACAAGATCTGATGTGAAGATGGGATATATCGGTCCACTCCTTCTGGCACCTCCCCCACAAAGCGTCAACATTTTGAGTAGTCATAAAGCTCATAAAATGCGAAATTAACATCCGATTCCATTCAGACTTGGTACATCTCAATGTTTCCATCAACACAAGATCTGTTATAAAAATGTTTGAGATCGGACCATTCCTCCTGGTACCTCCCCCACAAAGCGTCAATGTTGCGAATAACCAAAATATCCGATATAAGCATCCAGTTCTCTTCATATTTCACTCAACCCATTATTTCTACTAAAACAAGATCTGCTGTGAAGGTGGGATACATTGATCCACTCCTTCTGGTACCTCCCCACAAAGGGTCAAAATTTTGAATATCCATGAAGCTCATAAAACGAGAAATTAACATACGATTCCATTCAGACTTGTTACATCTCAATATTTCCACCAACACAAGATCTGTTATAAAGACGGTAGAGATCGAGTAATTTCTTCTGGTACCTCCTCCTCCACATAGTGTTCAAGATTTTGAAAAAACAAAACACTTCAAATTTAACACATTCAAAGATTTTTGCCAACACAAGATTTGTTGTGAAGATGATGTATGTTTGCTAAACACTTTTGGTAGCTCACCCAAAAAGGGTCACAATTTTCAATGCTCCTATCTGTTATAACTTGCAAAACAAATCAGCGCTTCTTTACAACTTGTTATATCTAAATATTTCTCTCAACCAGAAACCTGAGATGAATATGGAACTTTAATTTCGCATAAAATTGGATATAAATGTTCGATTTTCTTATAATTTTGCCCATACTAATATTTTTATCTATATTATCGGGTACCCCACGCACATTTTAACATTTTCCAAAAATTATCACATATCTTGTGTGAAGTGAAGGAAGTAACCAACATAGTACAGACCTGGCACGTCGCAATATTCATATCATATTTATTTAGGTCCGAAACGAAATGGACAATATTGGTCCATACCTTCGGAAGGTACTCCATAGAGGGTCAACAATTTGGATAATTGTAACAGAAGTCAAAATATATTTAAATAATCGAACATTAGCTAAGAGTATACATCTGTCGGCAAAACCGACTGATAATTTTTTACTTGTTTAGTTGCCCCTATTTCTAATACCGTTCTGATTAATCTTGAGCGAGGAATTTAAATGTGTTAATAAAAATTTCACAAACCCCCCCCCCCCCCCCCCCCCCCACTTCAAGGAATCAGAAAAATTTTACTAAAGACTCCACAATACCCTGAATGGGGTGGCTGGTCGAATGCTCCTCATCTATATATATGTATGTGATTGTAATGATAAATATTTATTTAAAATATCTTCTTTTTAAATTTTGAAGAATTTTTCCCCACAGGTTTCCAAAGTAACACAGACGTCAGACATCTGAGTCGGAAAACTTTTAATGGTAAAATTTATTTTAAAAAACCAAAATTCAACATTTCACAATGTCTCCAACAAAAGCAACATGTCAGTGTAAGCAAAACAAAAAATTTCATAACTGTCTTAAGTATTTTTCTTAATAAATTTTTCCCATTTCCCAGGCATGAGCTACTAACTAATGAATTCATTTTTTTCTCTCTCAATTTTATATTTCTTCCACCAATACGCTGCTGTTGCTGCTGCTGGTACTCAGGTCAATAATGCAACAGCCCGAGTTCAAACTAAAAAAGTTACCACAGTTCCCAACGGTAAGTAGTTCAAGCAAAGACTGCAATGAAAAGAAAACAACATTTTCTACTTTTAAGTTTTTTTTTTCTATTTTCTGTTTTTTTTTTTTTTTTTTTTTTTTGGTTCTTTTTCCAAGTACCATCTGAAAGCATTCACCCATTGCTATCACCAAAGTCCAAAGAAAAAAGTAATTCAATAATATTCCTTATAACTTAAATGTTCCAAGAAAATATCAATATTGATTAAATTTGTTTTTGCCGAAATATTTATAGAAGAGGTCCCAAAAAAGTGACTCTCACCAGCGAAAATACATTGTGAATGGTATTGAACGAAGAAAAACATGAAATCTGTTTTTATATCAGACAAAAGAAAATAGAAAGTTTTAGTATTTCGTATCTTCGTTTTTCTTTAAATGAAAGAATACGAAATGCAATACGAAAAATGAAGAACATAACTTTTTCTCCTAATATCTTAAGAAATCAATAAAAAAAAACAATTGAATAAAAACATTTCAGAGCTCTCTAAAAATGAATTAAAATTGGATTTTTAAGATGGTTCAGAGTATCATAGATTTATAAAACAAGTCAACACAATTATTCGAAATATGTATTAAACAATAAATCTAGGGGCCAGCAACGCGGACCGGTTCAACTAATATAATGTACATATATTATAATTATATTGAACTTATGCTATGGATATATAAATGAATATATTAATGACCCTAACACGATGTGAAAACTAGCCTGTTTTTGTATGTCGAGTGCGAAAGAAACAAAACAAGTTTTTTGCTTCTAAATTTTGAATGTGACTTAAGAAACATTTTCAAAATCATGAAAACTGATTTGGAATAGTGTTTTTCTTTTGTATTCACTAATAAATAAATAATTTCAAATTCTATTTATTTACCTGTCAAATATTTGTTTGTTTCGCTCTTTTGTTTTTCTTACAAAATTTCGATGATTTTTTTCATAATTTCTTGGCCATTTCAAATATTGTTAGTATTTACAATCTGTCTCTGCGTTTGCAAAACTCAAGACAATTGGGTTCATATATTGTTTGTAAACATCACAAATTTTGTTTATGTGACGTAGGCGTGCAAACAATTTCAAAAACAATTGCATACACTTGAATAAAAAAGTCTTTTTTGTTTATTTACCGCTCACTCATTTCTTTATCGGTCTGCAACATTTGAAAAAAAAAATTTTTTTTTTTTTGATTTTTACATATTTTTTTGTTCAATATCAACAATGGTTAACATTTACTGTCCTTAAATAGTCGTCCCATAATACCCGAAAATAGTCAGTCCGTTACATATGTATTAGTCAAATTTAATTATGTTTGAAGGCAATTAAACCCAAGGTTCGAAGTGAATAGAACAATAGGAAATGTATGTAATTGGTAGTTAAATACAGCTGTGATTTAAGACAATTGTGTTTGAATGCCAGGTTAGCATAGCATAATAAATTTTGTGTACCATAAAAAAATAATAGAATCTTCCTACAGGTGATAATCTGGTATCTTTATAAGATTTATAAGAGCCATAACTTGATCAGTGCAAAAAACATTTATTTCTCACTTCCAAATATGCATTTAATGGCTAGTTCACTCCCCATGTTAGAGTCGTATGTTAAGTAAATTTTTCACAAATATATTTAGCATTTTATAGCATAGTCTTAGGCGCTCGCTACAAATTTGTAAATGAATTTTAGAAATGTTAACAGATTTTTTTTTTCTTAAGCTTAAATTGTAAAAATAGTTCCCAGCATTATTTTTTTGTTTAACAAAACTTCCACGATGGCATAAAGATGCAAAATAAAATAAATCTTTTCGAATGGTTGAAATTGTTGAATGTCAGTTTTGATATGCTGAAATCATATATGATACTTTTAAGCGCTCACAATAATTTTTATACATAAAGGAAACGATTTACTATATATACTACTAGCTGAACCTGGTGCGCTTCGCTACCACCTTTAATTTTATATGCATTCAAAATATTATATACGACCATTTTGTGATTAAAAAAAAAATTATTAAATAAATAAAATAAAACAAATTCAATAATTTAAAAACGTAATTATTGTAATACTTAAATGCGTAAACAAACAAATCGCTCTGTCTACCAATGCGTGAACATGCCAAGAACAGCTGACCATATAGACAAAGCAGGAACATGCCAAATTTAGTCCGCATACAGAAAGGGTTTGTCCTTCAGATTCATTAATTTAAGCTTGCAGGAAACGGCAATCGTTTGAAGTTGAGTGTCATTTCTGTAGCAATTTGAGAATTCGAGATAGCAGCCTACTTCCCTGCAATAATCGTATCATCAATGAAATTGTTGAGTAGTTTTTCATATGGGATATATATATACAACCAACCAACCTCAACCGATTTCAATATAACTTGTAAAATTTATTTTTTACCAAATTCCACCACACGTTCCGAATTTCATTCTTATCGGACATACATATCGTATTTTATATATAAAATACATGAAATCAGGTGAAATATATATGGGAGCTATATCCAAATATCAATGGATTTCAATATTATTTGACACATTTGTTATTGTACCAAATACCTTCACTCATTTCGAATTTCATTGGAATCGGACATACATATCGCGTTTGGTAGCTTTATCCAAATCTGAACCGATTTTTATATAATTTGGCGAATTTATATTTGTACCAAATTTCGTCACTCATTCCGAATTTCATTGGAATCGGACATACATATCGTGCTTGGTGCATCAGATATGTGAAATAGATCGAAAATTTATATTTAGGAGTTATATTCAAATCTGAACCGATTTCAATATAATTTGGTAAAATAATTTTTGCTCCAAATTCCGTTACGCACCCCAAATTTGAAGACTATATTTGTAATCGATCAATGGATATGTGCATACAAAAACTAAATTTTTTGGAGGTACCTCCGATTCTGATGCTTGTCTCCGATTCCAAGTGTAATTTCAAAAGTCAAAGTCAAGTCAATTTCAAAAATTTATATAGCCTATGTTACTTTCAGGCTGTGCTGTAGTATATTTGGAAAATTTCAGGAAAAATTGTTTAGCAGTTTTTGAGGCTACAAACAAACAAAATGTCAAACGTTAAAACATTTTCCCCATATAGATATAGAAGATAGAAGAAGATATAGATACAATACTATGTAATGCATGTTATGTAAAGTTTTAATTAAAAAATAATACGGATCGGATGTCCGTCCGTCAGTCTGTCCGTCCGTCCGTCTGTCCATGTATTTTATTGCCTATCCAGATGAAATTTTGCACAAATCATTTGTTTGGCCCAAGGACGAACCCTATTGAAATTGGAGATAATCGGTCAAAATTTAGATATAGCTCCCATATATTTCTTCGTCCGATTTGCCTTTTATTGTGCACCAAACGTGTAATATCAAGCCGAATGGTATAGAATTTTGCACATACAACCAGATTAGGCCTGAAAATAAGTATGCCAAATTCGATGGAAATCGGTTCATATATAGCTATAGCTCCCATATATATTGTTCATCCGACTTGTTATTTTTGTCCTCCGCAGCCGCAATATGCACTCTGTAACAACAATATTTTGGGAAATATATCAAATACAACTCAGAAATACATTTTCTAAATTTTATCGAGATCGGTTCAGATTTGGATATAGCTCCCATACATATCTTTATCCGATTTCAAATTAATTGTGCACCAAACGGGTAATACAAGTCCCAAATTAAAAGATACAAATGCTTCGGCATATTCAGTCCTATGAACTTTAAATTATAATCATAGCGTGTATGAACTTTTAATTGTTATGCGGAGCTCTACTAAATTAGCAAAGTGGTATCATAAAGTCGGCCCCGCCCGACTTTAAAACTTACTTTACTGGTTTAGAACTATATGTTCTCCCATTTATTTAGAATGGCCCATGAGAGAAACTCACTAGAAATATTCTGAGCTATTTTTTGGAGGGACCTTCGTAGACTGGGCACATTTTGTCGAATTAGAAACAAGAAATGTCGATTTTTGGTCTTAAAATTTAGTACAAAATCGCAAAAAATATAAATCGGTCCACACTCTGGTATAACCCCATAGAACGGGTTTGTCCGATTTTTGGTATCTGTCCAAAGGCCCAAGGAAAGTGGAGTTTTCAAATAATTTTTCTCAAGGAACAACCAGATTTTTTTTTAAGATCCAAGAAACGTGGATTTTTTAAGGAAAATTTCTAAAGTATCAACTCTAAATACCCTGAAAAAAAATCCACTCAAAACGACATGGGTTCTAAACTCAGCACTTTTTTGGACGTATCTAATTATATGTATATACATTTTGCAGGCGGAGAGTGCAAAAGACTCGTTTTATTTTAGGAAAGCTGATGTGAAATTTGTGTTTAATTTTACACTTAATTTTGTATGGTTTTGAATATGGGGATTGAACTTGCAATCTTCTGAACACTCCGTGATGCCATAACTACTTGGTAAGATGAGAGTAAAATATTTTGGCTTTAAAATTTGATGGGAATAGTTCATTACTTTGTGCCGTAGTGATAATTGAAAATGTATGCTGATATCATTACATCGTGTCCTATTGGTAAGGCAAAAGGTATATTGCTCTCAGTACTTTTGTAACAGCTTGCTACCTCTTATTTTAACACGGATATGTCATAAAAAGTAATTGCTTATCAATTTCGTAAAGGAAGTCTTAAGGCTAGAACAGATCAACGCTTAATCTTGACTTCGGTGTGAAAATCCAACACTTGTGGCTGGAAATAGTCTTGTATTTTTTTTACGTTTCATTTAGCCAAAAATGGCTACGGTATTGTATTTTCATGCCAAACTCACGATTTGTTTCACCCTTTAGATATACTCCTTTATTCATTACTTGATAAGCTAAAAGTAAGATATTATGGCTTGTAAATTTGATGGTAATAACTCATTATTTTGTGGCTTACTGGTGATGCCGATTGGTAATGTACTCTCATTACTTTTAATGCGGAATGTGGCTACAAAATGTTTGCTGGGCTCGGTTATCTGTGAACTGTGTTTTGAAATGAACGCTCTTTGATATTGGGTTATCAATCTGTATAAATTGTGAATTTATTTAATTAAAATATAAAATATGGCAACTGATATTGTTTTATTTTTTAATGCAAATGTATTGGAAACTGGAATGTTTTATTTAACTTTTAATTTGAACAGACCCTGTAATATCCGATTTTCTGAATTAAATTACATTTTTTGATTTGATTAATTGAAATACCAACTGGTTTGCATTTTTAACTCATATTTCTTTTGTTTGTATTTTTTTCTATTCTTACACTTTCTGCCAACAATGCAACAACATCAAATATTGTATAAAACCAAAACCAAAAACACAATAGTTGTGCTGACCAAAGATGGTGCCATACCGGCTCCTGCTCTAGGTGAGCGAAAATATCTGTTTTTTTTTTAGAAAAATAATAATTCTTATGTTACCACTTTGCCTGTGTGTGTATGTTATGTTTTTATTATTTTTTGTTATTTTCCTTTTAAATAATCATCAATTGTAAATTTAAATTGTATTGATTGTGTTGCTGATTGCGAATGAACATGAATGCCAATTAAGTATTTCCTGATTATTTAACAAGGCCATAACTTAAGGCGCTTAAAAAATTAAACTACTCTTGCTCCTCTCCCACAACTACCTAATTGATGCTGCAATGCTCTCTGCTCTTCCCCCCAATGCGTCTCGCTTTGACGAATCTGTAATCCTCTGTTTCATATCTGAATTGTTTAATACAAACATGAATTGTTTTTTTTTTTTTTCTTTTTTGTAATCTTTTTTAATTGCTCATAAGGAAAGAAGAAAATGGATACTAATTTGAGATCGAAATAAATAGTTAGATTTAGTTTTATTCTACAAATTATTTTTTTAAGTTATACCAAACTATTATACCAAAGCAAATAGACATTATTTGCTTTGGTATAATGTCAAATAAAGACTATTTCAAAATGGCTTAACAAAATAATTAGTTGAATACATATCAGATTTTCTCTATTCAAACCATTTCTTTCGTAAAAGTGATTTGAATTCTCTCATTTGTGACCAAATATTTTTTTTTTCTAAAAAAATCGATTGAAGTTAAATTTGCTTACGGCCATTTTTGTCTCAGAAAAAAAATTGAAATAATTTCAAGAATTGGGTTTTGCAATTAATTGATTTAAATACATTTTCCTTGGTATGTCAAAATGTCCATTTCTCAATATTTGGCTTAAACAGATGTAAACAAACATACATATGCTGAGAGCACATATTTGCTGCATATTTATGCATACATAAATACATTGCATATAAAGGGTGATTTTTTTTAAAGCTATAGAATAGAATCAAACTTAGATCGAGTTCAAAATCGGTCCACACCTTCTGGTACGTGTTAGATGGTAGAGATCGGACTATTCCTTCTGTTACATCCCACACAAAGGGTCAAAGTTTTGAATAACCAGGATGACCATGAAACTCGAAATAAGCATCCGTTCTCGTCAAATTTTGCTTATGCCATTATTTTTTAGTAACACAAGATCTGCTGTGAAAACGCGATATATCGGTGCACTCCTTCTGGTACTTCCCCCACAAATGGAAAAAAAATTTAAATGTCCATGAACCTTATAAAAAGCGAAATCAAGATCCGATTTCTTTCATAGTTGGTACATCTCAATATTTTCACCAAAACAAGATCTCTCATAAAGATGGTAAGAATCGGAACATTCCTTTTGGAACTTCCCTCAGAAAGGGTCAACGTTTTGAGTAACCAAAACGATTATAAACTCCGAAATAATCATCCTGTTTTCTTCATATTTCACACAACCTATTATTTCTACTAACGCAAAATCTGTTGTGAAAATGCGATATATCGATGCACTCCTTCTGGTTCTTCTCGCAAAAAGGGTAATAATGTTGAATATCTATTAGGCTTATAAAACGCCAAATTAACATCCGAATCCATTCACACTTGGCACATCTCAATATTTCCATCAACAAAATATCTCTTATAAAGTTGGTAGATGGATGGTATAAAGAGATCAGACCATTTCTTCTGGTTCACATAGGGTTCTAGATTTTGAAAAACAAAACGCTCAAAGAAAGCGAAATAAGTAAGCATCCAACTCTCTTCACATTGCACACATACAAACATTTTTGCTAACACAGGATCTGTTGTGAAGATGATATATATCTGTGAACCCCTTCTCGTAACTTACCCACAAAAGGTTACAATTGTCAATACTTTCTCTACAAGTTACTACATCGAAATATTTCCCTCAACCAGAAACCTGATATGAATATGGAATTTATGATTTCCCAATAAATTGAATAAAAATGTTCGATTTTCTTGTAATTTTGCCCACACCAATATTTTGCTCTGCATTAGATGAAGTAGGTCCGATACGAAATGGAAAATATTCACCCATTCTTTCGGAACCTACTCCACAGAGTGTCAACAATTTGAATAATAATAATAATAATAATAATAATAATAATAATAATAATAATAATAATAATAATAATAATAATAATAATAATAATAGTATTAATAATAATAATAATAATAATAATAGTTTTAGTTTCGCCCAGAAGTATGCTCATAAAATTGATCAATGATTTTGAAGCCAGACGAGCTAGAAATAGTTAAAATTTTTCCAAACTTAAGTCCACTCGAACTCAACGTAAAACTGTGATTTAGAATAGTTTTTTTTCAGAATATTCTCACTTTTGAAAGAATTTAGATATTTTCGTAATTTTTCTTTGTTGGACAGGAGTTTTCAATATCAAATTTGACATAGATCCAATATGCCACTACCAGCCGATTTTGGAGAGCCTTATGAAGATGTAAGACACATTTTCCCGATAATAAAATCTTAAGGGGAGGACCATTTTCTGCTAAAAATTTTCGATTCGATTTTCTTATAAATTTGCCCATACTAATATTGTTATCACTACTAGATGAATTATGGAAATGGATTACTTCTGCCGGCTATATCTGGATTTTTTATCACATATCTCATATAAAGTGAAGGAAGTAGCCAATTGGAAGTGACAAACCTGGCACGTCGCAATATTTATATCATAAATATTTTAGGGTCGATACGAAATAGACAATATTAACCTATTCCTTCGGAATCTACTCCATAGAAGGTCAACTATTTGAGTAATCATAACAGAAGTCAAAACATTTTTAATTAATCGAACATTGGCTGAGAGTATACAACTGTCGGCAAAACCGATTGATACTTTTTTATTTGTCAGAGTCCTTTTTGCCGGAAGATAACAGTTAAACAGACATATTTATATTGTGTGTGACGCAAGCAAATGTCGTATGTGAAATCTCTTATGAAATTCTTCGGGAAAAGGAAATAGCTTTCAAACCATAGCTTCTTTTTAACTTAGCATATTTTCCAAAAATTTTTCTTATTGGACTTAAGACATTTGCTTGCATCGCACAATGTGAAAATAATGTGATTTTATTCTTAATGTAAATATTTTTTTCTTAAGGAAATCTCTTAAATCTGTGTATTTTTTCAATATGCTATTGGCATGCTATATCTTACAAAAATATACACTCTCTTAAACTTAACATCCTTGTGGAAAACTCCAATCTCCTTCCCGCTACTGAAATTTATGAATGTCTTTTGGTGTTATCATCCATTCCCATTCCATTTGTTTGCCAAGTGCTGTGCATGATGCATAATATAGTATTGAAAAGAAGAACAAAAAAAAAACAATTAAAATAAATCAAATCTCGCATGACTGTGTGTGAAAATGCAAAAACAAAGAAAATACAATTATTGCTATGCCAAACTTGTTGATATAGAAATTTTGTTGATGGTGAACATATTTAGAATAATATACTAAAATAGTTTATTTTTCTCTTTTTTTAACTATTTCTTTATTCCATATCAAACTGTTTTATTGTTTATGGTGATGATGATGATTATGATGATGATGGTAATGATGATGATGTTAAACTGCTTTTGACGCCTGCTGTGCCTGTAATGCCTTTCACAACCATATATTCTTCCACAAATGTACGAAAACATTGGGCCATTGTCTGATGTATTCTTTGACAAATAATATGGCCAACAAAAATACAAAATAATAAAATCAAAAAAAACAAAACGAATTTCAATCTGGATTTACATAAATGTTATCGATCGATCACCATCAATGTCATTATATTCCCCACAACCATATATTCAACCAACCAACCAACCACCACCACTGGTATCCCATGAAAATCTAACGAAAATTCCATTGATTGACAACGAAAAATAAAATTCCTGAAAACGACAACAACAACCACAACACAGTTTGTGTCCAATGGCCCGAAGGTAAGTCTAGAGTTTAGTTGCATTTTGTTATCGTTTCTCTTTTTTTCTTTGTTTTATGGCTTACTCTCTTGTTTTAGTTTGTGTATGTCAATATCGAATTACAAATCCCTATATACATATATAAAATATTTAATAATATTTTATATAACTTTTGAAGCTTTTTTTTTTCAAATAATATCGTTTTAATGCCCATATTTTTTGTTTATTAGAAATTCAAAAGTGTTTTGTTTTCACATTTTGTCGATGAAATATTTACATAGAATAATTTCATATATTTAAAAAAAAGAGATGAAAATAGACGGGAATACAACAACTAAAAGTATATTAAGTTTTATTTTAAAAACATAAACATTACTCAAACATTGCCATGTAATTAAGTTTATAATCGTTTTTTCTTTTCAATAAATTTACAAATGGTTGTATAAATATATATAAATGCATTTTATATTGTATTAATATATGCATAACTTTACACTTAAATACAAAAATATTTATTTTCTCATAAAAAAAAATATATTTATAGAATATAAACAACAACATGTATTTATACAAGTCTTATATTACTACATAAAAATTAATAATAATAATAATAATTAAGACAAATGTAAAAAAACAGTGTATAAAAAAGTATTAAGGTGAGAATACACAGGAGAAGTTTTTTACTGGTTTAATAAATAACTTAAAATAACAAAGCAGCGTAGGGTGAACAAGTGTAAATTTCGGACCGAAATTCAACTAAATCAACAGAATAGAGCTTCGTTCTGTTCTTCTACAAAGAACCCAGCCGCCATCTTAGGCCAGCCAAAAAAAATCTTTTATGTATTCTCACCTTTAGGACTCCTAAGCTACACATATCACTAATAGCGTTGATTTCAAGCAAAAAGATAAATCTTTAGGCAAATTTCTTGATTTCTAAATTGCTAAAACAACCATAATAAAACAAATAATTAAAAGAAGTCAATATATTTTTCCTCTTTCTCCGAAGACAGATTTCAATCTATATACTTTAATTTAGATAATACATTCATTTCGAAAGAAAAAAATCCATCAAAAATCGATCAAATTTCATGGAATATCGACTAACAGGTTAGAACGTATCAATCAAGTTGACCGACAGCTTTGATGTACAATTATCACAGATCGAATATTCCACCTCCGAAATGTAACTTCGAATTCAAATAGAAGCGTTCGGGTGAAAAGTGAAATTGAGTAAAAACAAGTAAAAAAGGCCGGGCCGGGCCGAACTTTGAATACCCTCCACAATTTGTAACGAATTTGGCAATTTTCAAAAAAAAAAAAATAAAATCGTTAAAAATTCTGTTAAAATCTTAAAAATACCGAATGTAGTCGTTATATTAGGGTCTATACGACGACGTGGACCTGTATAGGCAACTTTTGTCATAAGCCAATACAATATTCAAATGCGAAACTTACTCGGAAACTTACTTATCGGTGAATAATGTCTCTAAAATCATCAAAATGCCGAATATCGGGAGGTACCGTTATATGGGGTCTATACGAAGACGTGGACCTGTTAGAGGCTGTAGTATCCATTACGAACTTCAAATACCATATTTGAAACATTTCCAATGAATAATATAGCTAAAATCATCAAAATACCGAATGTAGGGAGGTACCACTATATGGGGGCTATATAAAGACGTTGTTGACCTGCACAGACAATTTTCTGTCATATGCTGTAGTATCCATTACGAACTTTAAATACCAAATTTGCAACAATTCCCGTGAATAATGTCACTTAAATCACAAAAATACCGAAAATAGGGAGGTACCATTATATGGGGACTATACCAAAACGTGAACCTACATGACCCATTTTCAATATCAAAAGTCCTGCAGACATAATATACCTTTGAGTAAAATCTTATCAACCTACTTCATTTCGTTCGGAAGCTAGAGTGAATTCCACAGACATACGGACATTGCTAAATCGACATAGAATTTTATGCTGATGAAGAATATACAGGGTGAGATGAAAAAACTGCAACCAATTTCAGACTGCTGTCATTTCTAAGCCACTCGTCCGACAGCAGTTAAAATTATTCGAGTGACAGCTCATTATATTGTTTACAAGCGTATAAAAGCATTTTGGTGAGAATTTCCCAGAAAAAAAAGTTATTCGTGATGGAATTCAAGCGTGATAGTGTGATTTCTTTATATTTGGTTGGAAAACCACAAGTGGCTATCGTTAAAGCACTCCCGCATTGAAATGTGAATAAATCTTTTATGTCTCGTACCATCGCTCGTTACCGTGATACTGCCCGACTTCAAGGAAGTGGACGGAAGAAAACAGCAACATCAGCAGAAATGGTTCGAAAAGTAAAGAAGCGACTTGATCGAAAATCGCGTCACAGTGGCCGAAAATGGCTCGTGAGCTGAACATATCGTAATATTCCATTCGGCTAATATTGAAAAATGAGCTCGAGGTAAAGCCATTAAAATTCCAAAAAGTGCAAGAACTTACACCGCAACGAAAGTTTATTTGCCAAGGAGGTCAGCTGAAAATGTGCACCTTCGGTTGGCCACCAGAACTCAAGCGCCGTCCATGGTGATGGTGTGGGCCACCATAACAGACGAAGGTCGCTCTCCGCTCGTATTAATCGACCGTGGCATCAGAATAAATGCCGAATATTATCGCGAAAATATTCTGGAAGGTGTATTAAAGCCTTGGGCACGCAATAATTTTGGCCGCAGGCCTTAGACATTCCAACAGAACTCAGCACGCTCCACCCAAGAATGGTTAAAAAATTAGGTTCCTCGCTTCATTTCCAGTGTACAATGGCCACCAAAATTTTCGGATACCAATCCGTTGGAATATTGTGTCTGGAGTATTTTGGAAAGCAAGGGCCTCAAGCAAGCGCTTCGCCGGGAATGGGCCAACATTCGGGTAGAGTGTGACGGTTTCATTGGCCGTTTGAAGGCCATAATTCGTGTCAAAGGTGACCAATTCGAACAAATCTAAACTTATTCTAAAATTTGATGCTATTTCTGAAATTTTTTGGTTTCATTCAATAAAATTTAAAAATAAATGTAAAAATTATGGCGTTTGACTTTGTTGCAGTTTTTTTATCTCACCCTGTATATTCTTTGCGGGGACGGTCAACAATTTGAATAATCATAACAAAAGTCAAAATATATTAAAATAATCGATATTAGCTGAGGGTATTCAAACCGACAGTCGGCAAAACTGCTTTTTAACTTGTTTTTTTTTTTTAACTTTATGTCCCCGATTATCTTCAAACTTCACACATTTTATTAGTTATATGTATTAAAAATCCAGGGTGACATCACCTCCATAAATCAAACTGAAATTTAGTGCGATAAAGGTATGGGAAATACCTTGCATACCTTCCAGTACCTCCACCAAAAAAAAAAAAGAAAATAATTAACGATTTTTTATAACATACGGGGAAATACAGCTCTCTCCAAAGCCTACTCCTATACGTTCTAATTTGTTTGTTTTCAAACTGACCGACTATTTTAAATCTAATGTAGATTATATTTTATGACCTTCGACATCTACCAAAAAAAAAAAATATTCTCTTGAGAAAGTGCAACGTATCCATCCATCCAAGTATTAGAAACCTGAATTTTGTATTTTTTTTTTAATTTCTGCATTAATTCATGTCTTTTTGTTTATATTTTTGCCTCTATTGACACAATTCATAAAAAGATTTTTTAAAAAAATAATATTTATCTTTAAAGAGATTTATCTAACTTGAATTTGAGCCCTAAGTACAGTGTAGATGTCCTTTAATGAATGAAGTAAAAAATATTTATTTATTAAAAATGTAATCAGAATCATTGTAAATTATTATGAATGTATTTGTGGAAGTTAACATTTTTTATAGCATATATTTAGGCTATTTAACTATTTCATTTCATTTTGCATATTTGATAACGTTGCCCATAATTTCAATAACTGCACAATCAATCCGACCATCCATCTCCTATTTGCTAAAGGTTACCGATTGCCTGTGGCTACGTGGCCATTCATTGGTGCCCCTGTGGGTGTGGGTGCGGCGCCATTAACACCGGTGCCAACGGGAGCGGCACCAGCAACAGCCACTGCAATAGCAGCACCAGCACCTCCCACGTCCATTGTCTTAGCACGGCCGTCAACACAACGACGAAGGTATTTTTGCAAACGAATATTAATAATTCAGTAAAACAAAAATTAAAAAAAAAAAACAACATTTATTGAGGCTTAAAAGCACAATTCATCCCAAGGAAAGAAACGAAAAAAAAAGACGAATGAAACATTAAAAATGATCCTTGACAAAAGAAATTTTAAACTAAACATTTAGAATGTCAATTGTGTCTGCATTACTATTTATTATGAGCCCGTATCAGCCCGCCCCTCTATTGTTAATTAAATTAAAAATATTCTAACATTTTTTCATGTATTTTTAGTATTTGAAATAAATTTATAATATTATTGTATTGAAAATCAAAATGTTTCCACAGAGAAATCTACTCAAGTGTTTAGTTATTATTTTGGTTCTTGTTGGATTTGATTTGAATCAGGCATTTAATTAAAACATAAAGACAACTTTGAGCAGATTTATGTTATTTTGAAATTCATATTTATGTGTTATGATATACAGATGTATGTATTAGGCTTTCGGTTTAAATATGCATTTGAAAATCTCTAAGTATTACAATTTATTGACTATCATGTATGTAAACTATATGCTGAATAATTGCCTTCTATTTGTCGTTTAATGTTTACTTGTTTTTATTTTTATTAATTATTCTTATAGTATAATATATAAAAGTTATATATTTTTTCTTAATATGTGGAGCAAAGAATGTGCTTTATGTTAATTGTGTTCACCTGCCTGTTGTACATTTGTATATAGATCGCATTATGTTATTTTCTTGCAAAGTATGGTTACTTTCTATAAAAAATTTTAATTACAAAAATAAAGTATGGAGAAAATACTTCTTATACCCTACAACACTATTTGTTGGGGGTA